GACAATATTTTTTCTTTATTGGAAAGCATAACAATTAAGCTTGACATTTAAAGATCAGTATCTTTACTTCAGTACTTGGCAAGTTGTCTGAAGCAATACTAAAGAAGAGCTTCTAGAGAAACACAATATAAGACCCAATTAATGCATGCTCTAACCAAGAATCACATCTCTTAAATTAGGAGAAGTCTTTGAAATTGGCAAAGAAGAATCAGTTGATATTTCTGATTTAGACTTTCAAAAAAGCTTTAATAAGGTTTCTCATAAGAAAGTGTGGTTAAGGAAACTCGATATAGGATATGAAAGAAGTTATTTAATGTACTAGAAATTGGCAGAAAAAGAAAACAAATAGGAATACGTCATCACTTTTTAATCATGGAAGAACAAATAAGAGGATGTTGCAGTGATCTATACTAAGAGCAGTGTTAACTTATTTATTAAAGACCTAAAAAAGAGGGTGAAGTGACTTGGCAAAATGTGCACGGGACACAAAATTATTTAGTCAAAGACAACAGAAGACTGAGGAACTTAAGAGGTACCTGAGGATACAGCCAACTCAGGCATACTATTGCTGATAAAACTCAGTGTAGATAAATATGATCATAGAAAGAAACAGTTTGAATTTCTAACATATTGCTGGATTGTAAAAAAAAAGTCAGAAAAAGTATGTAAACATAACTGTAAATATTATGGTTTAGTAGCCAAGAAAACATTTGGGCGGTCTCTTTCAGAATCCCACCGTAATGTGGGTTTTGTTCTGTTGATCTGAGTTTGATTTTCTAGGGATCAGGGAAGCTACTATCTGTCCTTCTTATGGAATACACTTGGAAAGACCAGGTAAGCAGCCTGCTAAGAGTGAGACTAGAGAAACTGATACCATCATAAACCACCACTGAAATCAACAGGGTTTTGCTTGCCTGGGTCATAAGACTAGCCATGCCCAGTCAGACCAAAGGACCATCTAGCTCAGTTTCCTGTCTTCCAACAGTGACCAATGCCAGGTGCTCCAGAGGGAGTGAACAGAACTGCTTTTCATCAAGTGATCCACTCTCTGTCACCCATTCCCAGCTTCTGGCAGACAGAGATTAAAGACACCATCACTGCCCATCCCCACTATTAGCCATTGATCCTGCATGAATTTATCTAGTTTTTTTTAACCCTATTATACTCTTGGCCTTCATAACACCCTCTGGCAAGGAGTTCCAGAGGATGACTATGCATTATGTCAGGAGTGGGCAAATACCAGCCTGTAGGCCAGATCCAGTCCACTAGGATCAGACCCAGACAGGCCTCCACACCACCATATTTACCTACGCCTCCGCAGGTACGGAAGACCACAGCTCCCATTGGTCACTGATCATCCTTCCCAGCCAATGGTAGCTGCAACCGCCTGTACCTAAAGAGGTGCTGGTAAATATAGCAGCAGCAGCCCACCAGAGGCTAATCCTGGTGAACCACCATTGTTCTATTGCCCACCCCTACATTATGTGAAAAAAAAATACTTCATTTTATTTTAAACCTGCTGCCTATTAATTTAATTTGATGGCCCCTAGTTCTTGTATTATGAATAAAGAGTGACACTTACCACCAGGGACTTAACAAGTCTTTGAACTTTCTCACCCATTATCAAGACAGTTTCCCCAATTATCACCTGTAATACCATTAACTCACAAACATCCCACTCTCCCTACCTTTAATATCAGCAATTCACAGACACTTACCTTCCTTCCTCCCCCTTCCCACCCCCCCGCCTCCTCCTTCTGTTCTGCAATGTGATTTGTCCTTTTCATATTTGTTCATTTTTTTAAATTGTATCCTTTGGTATATATGGTTGTGACTACTTTCTTCCACTATTTGATCTGAGGAAGTGGGTCTGGCCCACGAAAGCTCATCATCTAATAAACCATCTTGTTAGTCTTTAAAGTGCTACATTGTCCTGCATTTTTCTTCCAGTTCCATGGTTCTATGAAGAAATAACACTTCCTCATTTAGTTTCTCCACTCCTGACTGTATAGACCTGTAACATCTCTCCCTTAATCAACTTTTCCAAGCCAAAAAGTCCCCGCTTTGTTACTCTCCTCATTCAGAAGCCATTCAATATCTCTAATAATTGTCCTTTTCTGAAGGTTTGCCAATTCCAATATATCCCTTGTGAGATAGGACATATTCCAGCCATATTCAGGAAGGGGGCCTATTCATTTCCATTAGGGAAACTGACACACCTTGGTCCTGATTGTAGAGGGGTTTGAGCATCTGAACCCAAGCCCCTTTTGTCTGGCTTGGGGTGCTCAGCATTCCTGGGAAAACAGGTTCCAGGGAGCTCCAAGTGCGGGGCTCCTTCTGTAGGGGCCGATGGCCACGCGGCCTGTCACTTCTTTAGCGGTGCGGGCAGGGCCGCAGCGCCCCCAGCCTTCAAGCCAGGAACACGACGGCGCCCCCTGCTGCAGCACTGCAGGGAACGGGCCCCCTCACAGCAGGATTCCCAGGACAGCAGCTGCCGCGTGGGCGGCGCGCGGGACCTCACACGACCCGAGGTAGGTCGAAGGGCACGTTGGGGCGCGGGACCGGAAGTGAGAGCTCTGTACCATAGAGCTGACAGCAAGCGGCGGGTAGAGGAGCCGCCGGTGGGAGGGAC